TTTTTCACTATTAACAGAACTTTAATCAGTCCCTTGAAGCCCGAGTAACAATTAAAACTGGGATAGTCTTTTTTCTTAGAACTTAGGAAAGGGTTTGTAGTACTTTGCCAGAAAAGATAATCTGTGATGGAGTTAGGGAGTGTGTGTGTGTGTGTGTGTGTGTGTGTGTGTGTGTGTGTATGTGGGGAGGGGAGGAAATTCATACTAAGAAACATTAAAAAACAAAAACTTCTTTCCACAGTTGGAAGTCTGCCTCATGAGCTGGGGGAGAAGGCAGCTGTTGTAGCAAATTGATCACTAAGTCAGTGATGGTTGGAGGGATTGCTCAGGATAAGAGATGTATGCCGGTAGTAGATAAAGGACCAAACATGAGGGCCTCTCAGTTTCTGTATTGTAAACCATAATGCCCCAAAGTAGAGAGAAAGTAAGAAGGAAACTGTCTGCCATAGAGGCAGGGGGTCGCGTGGGGGTGGCTGGAGGGAGACTGGGGACATTGGTGATGGCAAATGTGCACTGGTGGAGAGATGGGTGTTTGATCATTTTACGACTGAAACTTAATCACATGAGCTTTGTAACTACATCTCATGATAATTCAATAAAAACAAGCAAACAAAAACAACCTAGCTCTTGGAGTCAGAGCGATAGTACAGCAGATAGGGCATTTGCCTTGCACATGGCTTACCCGGGTTTTATCTCCAGAATCACATATAGTCCGCCTCCTGCCCCCCACAGGTACACCACTAGGAATAATTCCTGAGTACAGAGCCAGGAGTAAGTCCTGAGCTTCAGATGTGATCCAAAAAGAAAAAAAATCCTTGTTTTCTATCACCCAGTGTGCAGGATAACATTGGTTTGTCTTTTCTGCCTTGCCATAGGGATCTTAGGTTTATTGGGTTACTCCCATCACAGTGCTCCCATTCCTCTGTGTTTATTTGTAACCTCTTTCTTTGTGCTCTGTTGACTTGTAAATATTGCTCTTCTCTTCTCCTTAAGTCCTTTGCATAGTTAATTCTGAGCAATGTCCTTTATGTATGGACACAGGAAGACAACTAATGCTATGCTTTCTTAACTTGGGAGTTAATTGACTCCGAATGATATTCACTCCTGAGCATCTGTTCTCTCAATTTAAGCCTCAGTTGCCCTTAGTTCCTAGCACCCCAAAAGCAGAGTCCTGATGAGGGACTGGATGGACACAGGGCAAGCAGTGAGCTACCCTGGCACTGAAATGGGCTTGACCAAAGTGCCATAATACTTAACATAAGTTAAGAGCCTTCTTTAAGGTTCTTAAAGAGTATTCAGGTCTTTAAGAGTATTCAGGTCTCCCAAAGAAGAATAGAAAGAGCTATGCTTGGAATATTACGTTTCACTCAAATGAGAGAAAGAATCCGGAGTTCTGACATCCGTCGACGATCAAGAATCAGGGACGCTGTCTCATTTGCCAAGGTGTCGAAAATCAGATGGGCTGGTCACGTAATGAGATTTAAAGACAATCGCTGGACTAGAGCTATTACCGACTGGATTCCACGGGATGTCAAAAGACCGCGTGGCCGCCCACCTACCAGATGGTCAGACTTCTTCGTCAAGATCATGAACGATCGGTTTGAGGCCCTTCATGTTCCCGGAGTGAACAGATGCCATTGGGCTACACTAGCACGCGACAGGGACAAATGGAGACGTTACTGGCGCCCGCTCGAGCAAATCGCCGACTAACGGGAAGTTAAGTGATTAAGTGTGAAGTTAAGAGCATGGTCATGGACAAATTCTGTCATGATCCAAAAAGTAATAACTGGAGTAGGACCCTGCTAGGGTTAGGAATGATTAATCCAGCCTGAGCACTGTAGTCTGAGGTTGTGGTGAGATGTTTCCCAGAGAGCCACCCTACAAGCTCAATGTATCTCTTATTGTGTCTATACAACATAATATTAAGAAGTAGATAACAGATGTCAATTACAATGTTAACTAAGTTATTGGACTAAGGAGAGGAGAAACACCCCTAGGTGGTATTTCCACCCTTGAACCTGATGGGAGATCACGAAGGGCTCTGGATATGTTGATTTTGCTACCTGATGGGGTGTGGTGTCTACCCTCAATGTGGGGAGTTGGAGAGTGATGAGAGAGACACTAGGACAGCAAGAGGAGATGCAGAGAGACTAGAAGGGGGGCAGAGGGAGAAGAATGTAGGGGAAGAATGCAGGAGCAGGTGCGAGGAGAGATGAGAGCCCAGGCTGTGAGATGAGCGGGAGAGACAGGAGGAGATGGGAAAGAGAGGCAGGGTGAGACTAGAATGGGGTGCTTAGAGAGACTGGAACAGGCGCGTCGGGAGAATGGAATAAACAGCAAATGAGCATCAACCAGCCTGGCAGCCTCGTTTCCTCCTTCATCTACCCATGGCACTGGCCATCCCGGGTGGGTGAGCGGCTCAAGACCACCGAACGCAGGCGGTGAGACAGAACCGCGCAGGGCTCTCCCCAAATTTCCCGGAAATTACACACCAGTGTAAGAATATTTTGCAAAAGGAAATATAACTCTTCTATTTATTAAAAAATTTTATTAAAGCACTGTGATTTACAAAGTTATTCACGTATTACAGCACTGATACACTCACCAGGGTAAACTTCCCTGCACCCCCATTCTCAGGTCCCCCCCTCCCACCCCGCATCCCCAGGGCTCCCACAACTGGCCTTTTGACAGGCACCTTTCTAAGTTTCATTGTTAAAGTTTGGGTGTCTTTGATTTCATGTTGCTGACTCTGGTTTGGACATTTGGCTCTACCATTCCCTAACACCACTTTTGTACCTGGCTCTTCTGGCTTGGCCCCTGTTGCTTCTCAAATGTCTCTCCCCTCATCCCTCACCCCAACTCTTTCTTTCTCCCTATACTCTGGGGCCAGGGTTGATCAGGCATCCCTCCTTTAAAACATTGCATTATCTCAATCAGTTATTCTAAATGCCACATAAAAATAATTATGTTAATAAACTCAGTAGAGTTTTTTTCCCTTGCTATACCTTTATATGAATATGTTTCCAAGATATGTTAATGACATTCTGTCTCACCAGCTTTTCAAAAAGCCTGTTCTTAACAGAAGTTTATATGTGAAATATTCTCTATCAAGTCAATTTATTATCTTTCAGAAAATCTTTCTTATGTCCCTGTGGATGCCATTGTTAAAGATGTTGAATATCTTCCCTGCAAAGTCATCACCCAGAACTTGAGAGTAATCAATCTTGCTCAACGTCTGAGAAAGTCAAGTAAGTATCAATGTGACCGATATGTACGAATCCCTACAAGAGTCCTCAGCGAAGACACTGTGCCAAAGCTACATGCATCTTTAATATGCGCTAATCAAATAAGTATTTAGAGGCATGTTCATATTTGGGATACAGCATGAACTATGGAAGTTACTTTTTATAAACACTCCATTCTCTAGTCACTCCATTTGCCTACAATGATAGCTTTTTTTCTGGTTGTTGTTATGAGCTAAAAATTATTAGAGAAATAACCACCTGTAGTGGTTATCTGTTTCTTTTTGATTTCTTTTCTTTCTCTCTTTTCTTCCTTGTTTTTTGAGGCCCAGTTGATATTTGGAATATATATTTTACAGAGTTAACCACACAATCTGCCTCATGTGTTTTTCTATTATGTTACCTATGGGTAACATTTGTAGCCTCTTCCTTGTGTGATTTGCTCAAGCCAGCACCAGTAACTTCTCACAACAAATTGTGAGACTTGTTACTGTTTTTGGCACATCGAATATTGCAGGTGTAGCTTGCCAGGCTTTGCTGTGCGGGCGGGATACTCTCGGTAGCTTGCCAAGCTCTCTGAGAGGGGCGAAGGAATTGAACCCGGGTCGGCTGCTTGCAAGGCAAATGCCCTACCCAATGTGCTATCGTTCCAGCCCAATAATAATAGTATCTGATTTAAAAGAATGTTTTGAGAAGATTTATAAAATGCTTTCAGAACTAACCATATCTGATTTAAAGTTTTATAAATGTTAGTCATTATTACAACTAGACCATGGAAGCAGTTGCTACTCCTTATGTGGGCAGTAATGGAGCAAACTTCCAACAGTTCAGTTAATTGCAGTGGTTAATATTAGTGTTTGTGTGTAGATAACATGACTAAATCAGAATGCACTGACAAAATAATTACCTTTTTATTGCTATCACTGGAAATAGATGAAGGAGTGAACTAGATGATACAACTGTTGACAGATGAAAAGTCTTACTTTACATTATTTAGTAAAGATTTGACTAAAATTATTATTACTAAAATTATAGATGATTTTGAATTTATTTAATTATATTGGTTAAAAATAAATTATATGGGAGCAGTTGCAGCGAGAACCATGTTGCTTCTGAATGTTCTGCTCACCCTGTATCAGGAATTAGAAAAAAAAACATGCTGGGGAAAGAATTTGCATCAAGATCAGTATTGAAATACCATAATGTATGTGATTTAGTTCAATAAGGGTCAGTCACTCAGACTCTCTTATCCTGTGGTTTTGCAAGCCCAGTGAGGGTTAGAAAAGTGAGAAGCAAGAGACCTTGTAAAAGACAGACTCTTTCCTTCACAAAGGTTACACTGCATTGTCCTTTAAAATTTCAATTGCTAAAGAATAAAATATTTGAAAAAAATTACTTGCTTTGAAGATCTTGGTTTGTCACTTGTAATGCAATATACTGAACAACCATAGAAAACCTTATAAAGAGGTTACATTTAATTTATGTTTCCCTTTTTTTAAAGCTGAATGTTTATTTTATTTCCCACCACCAATATCCTCAGTTTTCCTCCCCCTCCCCGCCACCTCTATACCAGGCATCATCATCATCATCATCATTCTCTCTCTCTCTCCTCCCCCCCCCCCCCCCGTTTTCTTTTAGACCTTATGATTTGCAATAGATACTGAAGGGTTATCAGGTTAATTTATATATTCTCTTCTAGTCCCTTACACTGGTAAAAATAATTAAAATTAAATGAAGACTATATCCCCCATGCCTTACCTTCCTTCACCTCCTGTTTTTTGTCTTGATTTTCCAGTTCAGAGTCATGACCAACTTTTGGCTCTACCATTTCATCATCTTCCTCATCCTCTAGAAAAAAGTAAGAGAAAAATGGATCATTTTCTTTCTTGCAAATCAAAGCCTTTAGTTGATGGTGGGAGGTAGGGGCAAAGGGGAAAGTTCCAATTATTTAGGGCAACTTCTAAGTAAATCAGTTCACAACGAATGCCCCCAAAGTATGTTCATGAATATATGAATTCATTATCTACAAAAGGGACCTCTTTGAAACTCTCTATCATTGCTGAGAAAACTGCCCTGAGTCGGCACCTGCTACATCTCTCTCCAAGCCCTCCCCACATGGGATGTCTCAGAATTGCCTCTCTGACCTCCGAAGCTTCCTTGGAGATGGCCTAGGAACAGATCTTAAAATGTTTCCACCTGGAGCACATTCTCCACAAGGGACACCTGCTGTGCAGACGACTCATTTCCAATTTAATTCTCACCAAATTAATTTGGATTTGACCTACAGGAAAGGGTTAAATACAGGTCTGACCCTAGGTCAGATACCACTGCCAAGTAAACAGCCGGGGGTAGTGCCCCAAGAGTCATTGCCATGGGCCTGGGAGAAAGCAACCAACCTGAAATGGAATTTACACAATCAGAGCAGCTCATGCATTAATGTGAATTTAATGAGGACGAACAAATGGATCCAGTCAGCCACCACTGCCAGATGTTATAATGCCCTTCCTGCCCTATGCAAATGATGCTCACTCTCTTTGCTCTCATCCTGCCTTTTTTTTAGAGGCCCCTTCCTTACAGAGCACTTGGGAGTCAGTCACAGTTAGAATCTATGAGGAGAGCTATATGTCACACACATAAAATATTCCAATTTAAAGAAAAAACTTATGAAATAAAAAAATAAATAAAATAATATAAATTAAAACTTTCATCACAGTACATATGTTTAATACCATGGCTTTTAAGCATTATATTCAGTCATTGATTTCATTGGTTAAAGTGAAGGTTATGAGAAAGGACTTTTCTTTCTTCCTTCCTCACTTATACTTACTCATGTTCAATCATCTGACAAATATTTACAAAGTTTCTAAAAAATCTAAGCTCTATAGACAGTCCAGTTTCTATCACATTAAATACTAAGACTTACATTAAACCTCTAAACTTCAACTACATAGAAAATGATTTATAAACATCTACTGAATATCAAATAAATATGTATTGTATGAAAAGCAGTTACAAAGTTCTGCTATATTAAGCAAGTATGTGATGGGAATAGCATTGTAGCACTGTCCTCCCATTGTTCATTGATTTGCTCGAGCAGGCCCAGTAACGTCTCCATCGTGGGGCGGAGGAATCGAACCCGGCTGGCCAGGCTGGCGGCTTGCAAGGCAAACATCCTACCACTGATGGGAATATCACCATAAAAATATGAACGTGTAAAAATGCATTGCAATACAGATGCACACACATATCTTGCATGCTTGAGACCCTGCGTTTGATCTCTGCACCACATATCTAAACAAACAACAACTATAAATACAATAATCACACTAATCCACCATGACTCTCCCACTTCAAGTCTTTGGAAACAAGAACTACATTTAATATATATATATATATATATATGTGTGTGTGTGTGTGTGTGTGTGTGTGTGTGTGTGTATGTATATATAGATAGATTTGATTTGGAATTTCTTTTTTTTTTAATTGAATCACCATGACTTAAAAAGTTACAAAATATTTGTGGTTGAGTTTTAGGCATATATTGTTCCAACAACAATCCCTTCACCAGTGCCCCAATTCCCACCACAAATGTTCCATCACCAAAGTTCTGAATTTTCCTCCCACCTCCAAATCTGCCTCTGTGGCAGGCATTTTCCCCCTTCCTCATTGTCCTAGTAGCACTGTCCTCCCATTGTTCACCGATTTGCTCAAGCGGGCCCAGTAAAGTCTCCATTGTTGTTACTGTGTTTGGCATATAGAACATGTCATGGGTAGCTTGCCAGGTTTTGCCGTCAGGCAAGATACTCTTGGTAGCTTGCCAGGCTCTCCGAGAGGGGTGGAGGAATTGAATTAGGGTCCGCCGGCACAGTCGCATGCAAGGCAAATGACCTACCGCTGTGCTATCGCTCCAGCCCTTTGTAAGAAAAGATAAACTTTGATGCAATCTGGATGGATGTAGAGGGAGAGGAATAGTCTAAGAATGATGTGGAATATAAAGAAACTTTCTAGGAAAATATCAAATGCCCAATTGCAGTATAAATGAAGAACAGGAGAACTGGTCTTCAGTATGAAAACTTAGTACTGGGACAGAAGTGGGAAGAGTAAGTTAGGAAAGGGAACAGTAGGATAAGGGGGAAGGAAAAATATTTTTAATGTGAATTTTCATTGATTTTCAGTATTCTACATATGTGTGAGCTGTGCAATCAATTTCATTACTTTATAACCACATTATACATATTTATACATATTAGAAAGAATACACAACCTTTAAAAGGATTGTTATTGTTAATTTATTATTAACTAATTAAGATATTTATTATGATCATATTATTATTAACACATACCTATGAAATAAAAGAATTACTCTTAGCACTTGAGATAGTTTAGGGGTTAGGGTGCTGGCCTTGCTAATGGTCACAACACTGGATCCTCCAGCATCATCCTGGAGGATCCTGAATGGTGATCCTGATGGTTCCCAACATTCAGCACTCACAGAGTACCACATCTTTGGGCCCTAGCATTGAATTGGCCACCAGTGACTGAGAATGGCCAGCAGGGCTCTGGGTTATCTGAGTACAGCTCGGGAACTCTGCCCCAAAAAGTTGCCCTTAGAGTTTTGAAATTACTTTGTTACCTAGAATTTTAGACAAGTGAACCTTTAAAATCTTATAAACAACATTTTATATAAATCATTTTCAGAAAGACATTATATCTGTTTAATAAAAGCTACTTAGAAAGTCTTTAACAAAAGATTCACCTCCACACAATATGTCTTCCTGATCCCAAAACCTAATATAAAATTAAGTAAGACAGGACTTAAAGTTTTGTCTCTTCTGGTAAATCTTGAGAGAAGAGGCAGTTTTCAAGAAATATCTAATCTGTGGACTGCAGATCCACTTCAGAACTTATTTTAAAAACATTTCTAATATTAAATTTTTTAATCCACTTAGTCTGATACTAAACATTTTAATTAACCGATCATGCCTTGATATATACTATATACAAGATGACAAAAAAGTGATAAAGTCTTGTTCTGGGTTGAAATTGTTCCCAACTCTGAAAATTCAGTGATAAATCAAAAGGCTCAGAACCTCAAAATATGATTACAGTTGGCAATAGGGTTCTTGCAGATGTAATTAGCTAAAATGCAGTCAAATTCAGCATGACTTGGGTCGTTATAAGATGAAGAAATTTGGACACAAACTCACACAGAAAGAAACTCATGAGAAGATGAGAGGAAAGATTGGAGTAAAGCTTCTATAAGCCAAGGAATGCTAGATATTGCCAGCAAAGTATCAGAAGCTACAGAAAAACACACTTTTCCTTACACTCTAAGGATGAACCGACCCTGCCAAAACATTCATTTTAGAATGCTCATTTCAAGAACTGTGAGAATGTCCATTTCTCTTCCTTAAAAAGCCCAGTTAGGGCTATTTTGTGGTAGCAGTCAAACCAACTATGGTTGCTAAAACCTTTTATGATTCTACAATCTAGTGAAGAGAAAAAGAAGACATAATGAAGATGATGACAACAACAATAACAATTATCACTTGATCACTTGATCACTTGACATCCCATTACTCATGGATTGCTCGAGCGGGCGCCAGTAATGTCTCCATTCACATGCTAGTGTAGCCCAATGGCGTCTGCTCATTCTAGGAACACAAACAGCCTCAAACTGATCGTTCAAGGTCTTAAAGAAGAGGACTGACCATCTCATAGGTGGGTGGCCACACGATCTTTTGACATCCCATGGAATCCAGTCAGTACTGGCTCTAGTCCACAGTCGTCTCCAAATCTCATTACATGTCCAGCCCATCTGATTTTCGATGTCTTGGCAAACAAGACAGCATCCCTGATTCTTGACCGTCAACGGAGGTCGGAATTCCAGATTCTCTCGTTTGAGTGAAGCATGATACTCCAAGCAGAGCTCTTTCGATTCCTCTTTGGGAGACCCAAATAGCGTTCTCATCCTGTTTTTGTAGGGCCCAGGTCTCTGAGGAATATGTAAACGCAGGAAGAACAGTGGAATCGAAGAGATGTGCCTGGATCCGGAGGTCCTTCGTCCTCTTAGCTATTTCTTCGATGCTCTTGAAGGCGTTCCAAGCCGCTCTCTTCCTCCTGTTCAACTCAGGTGCCAGGTCATTCATCATGTTGACTTCTTGACCTAGGTACACATAACTGTTGCATTCGGAGATGTTCGTCCCGTTGAGAGTGAATGGAACGTCAGGAATGAGGCTGTTTCTCATAAAATTGTCTTTGTGAGATTCAGCTGGAGTCCGACCTTTCCACATTCATGGTTGAAGTCGGCCAGCATTTGTGCCGCTTGGCTGATGTTTGGTGTTATTAGAATGATGTCATCAGTGAAGCGGAAGTGGTATAGTTGCCGACCATCTATCTTCACTCCCATTCCTTCCCATTCCAATCGTTGCATGACGTTCTCGAGAGTGGCACTGAAGAGTTTCGGTGAAATGGTATCACCCTGCTGAACCCTCTCTTGACATTAATGATCACCTCCCTGTAGAATGGTGAGATCCTGGTAGTGAATCCGCAATTCAGCTTACGGAGGATCCTGATGTTTTGAGTTTGAACTCCCTGTTTGGCTAGGGCTACAATTACCGCTGCAGTCTCAAAAGAATCAAAGGCCTTCTTTAAATCAATGAACGTTAGAAAGAGAGGCATCTTGAACTCCCGAGAAACCTCAATGAGCTTGGTTATTGTGTGGATATGGTCGATTGTGCTAAATCCTTTTCAGAACCCGGCTTGTTGGCATGGTCGTCCTTCATCTAGTATTCTGCCAATCCTACTTAGGATGACTCGTGTGAACAGCTTGTAGACGACAGACAACA